CACACATATATATATTGCAAAGCATGGATAACCTGTGTGTACATACAATAATCAGGAATTAACCTGTCTTGTCAAACTAGAAGTATAAAAACATTAATCACAAGAAGAAAAAATTGAATTACCTACATAAACTAGCTAAGGAAAACGTCCTTATCTAATTTGTTAGAAATTAATGAAATGTATGCAATTACTGATAGAAATTTAATCATTGGAAAAATTTTCGGATGAAAATTCATATCCGTCAAAAATTTCTATTGACGTTTTCCTTTAGAGAAACATTTCATCAGATTGAAAATTCTGTTCGTTGGAAGCTCAAATTTTCAACAGAAATTTCAAATTTTAGACATAATCTCTGATAGAAGTGTCCCTCAGAGATTAATTTTACTTAAAAAAAAATATTTTTATGGAGGTCTTCGCTTGTCATGGACTAATATCACATCCATAGTGAAAACTTTCTGGTCTACAGGCCATAGTATTGCGATTGTATAGACAATCTGCAGCAGATTAGGATCTGCTTTGTGACAGGAAATTGCATTATGTCAGATCTATGATTGGAGAGAAGCACTGAAAGTGAAGTGGGCAGATATACAATTCTTTAACATTTGGATTGTACTTTTTCTAGATGGAAGAATCAACCATTTCAATAAGAGTAGGGAAAAAAGAACCTTAGCGTAAACATGAAGTTGTAAGTCCATGCACCTCCACCATAAAGCATATAATTTCTTAGATTCAAAAAGAATAATAATAATAATAAAGATCCCGAGATTTCTAAACAAAAATCAAGCAGAATAATTCGCAAAATAAAATACAAAGACCTACAAGAAATCAGGCAACTGTAGGTTCCAAGGAAGACTCTGAAATAGACAAGGTTGGGAGGGTAGGAGTTGCTTCTCTAATTATCTTCACCTGCACAAAATATAATGTGATAGAAAAATTAGCTTTTGTATACTCAGGAGAGGTTTATCAGCAACATTGGATGATTGAAAATCAAGTTCAAAGGTTCAATTAACTCTATCTTTTTTCCTTTAAATTTATGATCTTGTGCATTAGTGGAATTATTGAAATCCTGGTGCTTATACCATTCCCTGAACCAAAAAAGTAGTACATTTTTGCCACTTCTATTAATTACTGGTTTTTATTCCTACTTTCCTTTGTTATTTCCCTTTCTTTTTTATTTTTCCTCTAGTAGGATATTTTCTCATTTCCTTTTCTTTGTGGATCCAACCAATGTTACTTGGACTTCATATCAATATTAGCATGGAAGTCTGACTAATGTATTACTAACAGCCTGTATTTATTAGTTTGCCATCTATCTTGAACTTTGAAAATTCAAATTATGGATTCATTTAATTCTATATCTATTCCTGGTAATGAAGGAACAAGTCCAGGCCAAACTTCACCCCCAGCTTGTACCCTTTTGAGTGTTGGACAGGTGAATTCATTTTTCTTTTCTTTTCTATTTTATATATATATATATATATAATATATATATTATTTGCATTTGTAGTTTGTTTGTACTTCTTAAGGTTACTTAGAATACCTTGTGGTTCTTTAGACTCCTTCAATCTTTGAACCGATGGAAACATATTTCAGAACCTCATAATTGATTATGTGATCTGAATTATATTGGCATTCTATTAAGCAGGCATCATTGCTGCAAAACTATATTTGAACAAGGAAAAATGGGGTCATATTTTAAACAAGATGTTAACTCTTCTACAACTTCTTAATGACACTTACAATGTACAACCAAATAGGCATCACAACATTTGGGACTATAAATTGTATATTTTACACCATTACACCAAAGCAGTGTATGGATTTACAAGCATAATACCCAAGTCTCAATAAATGATAGTGTTTCCCAGAGTCACATGATATCCATCTAATAATGTGTTTATAATTTGATTCACTTATATGTAAGTTTCTGCATCTGCTTCCAAGGTGGTTCAGTGACATGATATGCAGCATTTCAATAAATCATTTCAAAGAGGCAATAAATGCTAGCTCACCATATAATAAGGGAGGAGAAAAACAATTAGGCCTCCATTTGGACTTAACCGGGATGGGTGTAAATCATTTCAAATCAATATATTCACACAATTACAGCCAGGAAACTAGTGACTTCCCAAGTCCTAGATGCATATTACAGACAGAAAGACACAAAAATTAACTCCACTGCTTCAAGAAAAATTTAAGGGGCAAGAGTGTGGTTCTTCAGATAAAGATAAAAGCTACCTACAGCTACATGATGTAGCACATGTAGTCATGTACAGCATAAGTTATCTTCCAAATGTGTTCACAAACACAGGAGGAACAGACAAACAAAATAAAACAAATAAAAAAAAACTCTGATCTCTTGGCTAATATTTTAGAAGTCACGCAATTGATAAATAAAAAATTTAGAAAAATAAAGGAATTAGAAAGAGAATGCGTATCTTTAATTAAGAAGGGAAAGAACATAAAAGGATATCACATAGATTTGACATATTCCTTGTTTCAAATTCTAAGCACAACACGCTTAGACACTATATTCAAACTCTAAGAACTACAGGATACAGTTGGCGAAGAGCCCAATTAATTGGATTAATAAGTGATAAACCATTTCTAGATAATTTATAAACAAAACCCATAAGAACAAGCAAAACTAGTTTCACCTTAAATCGGGAATCTTGTTCCTGCATATTAGCTCACAGCACCGCTAATCCCAGAGTATTCAATTCAAAATCCTTGCATAAATTTCAATGTCCAAAAACCCAAATAAGAAAACGATAAAAAACGAAAACAGCTACAAGCACATTCGTGATTCTGCACATACCGAGACATTAAAACAAATTAAAAGGAAGAAAACAAAGAAGATTGCCGTGTGAAACCGCTTCTCTAAAAACCAAAGGGGAAAAGGAAAATCAAAATCCCAATCTGCTACATCTTCTTGGCAACAAAACAGGTAGTAACAGTACAAGGTAGATCAAAAGAGGAGAAATTACCTGAAGAACAAATTTTTCCAAAAAAGATGATTTTTACTGCGATTTGTCAAAGGACAAGATTCCTCGATACTCTTCAGCTAGAAAGCAAAAGTTTTTCTACAGGCTTATTCACACATATAAGTAAAAAAGGCAAAATCCACTGTCTTTGTGAATTTCGCTTGGTCACATTGGTGAGCCGCAATTTTACGTCTCAGCCTTCTAGTTCACAGTGAGGAAGAAGACCATTGTCATTTCTATACGTTCATTGGCTTTTTGTTCAGAACTAGAGCTCTCCCAGACGTTCTGCTTTGATAGTCGTAACGAGAATGCTAATAGAGGTAGATGAAATAAGGAAAAAAAGGGGAGGAGAGAAGTCGAAAGCTACGAAACCCATGAAATGTCAAGGACAGGGAAATGGCGCTGAAATAAAATACCTGGCGCGCACTCAAATTTTACTTTTTTTCATAATTTTGCCACGGGCTCTACGTGCGTAGCAAAATTTTGGTTTTTCAATCAATTTTGCTACGGTTATATAACCGTGGTTAAAAGACCGTGGTTAAAGAGCGGTTTTTTTTTTGTAGTGTTATTATTACTTTGTTATTTTCTGTTTTCTTTCTCCAATTCTAAAAATCAAATTTTTGAATCGTTTCTTAAAACTATAGAAAACTAAAATAAAATTTTATTTTAAAACGAAATAAGCTTATAAGCACTCCATCGAAGAAAAAAGAAAAAGAAAATATAGAAAGAAAAAAAAAAACAGCTCACCAACGTCAACTCAACAGGTGGATTTAGTGTGTTGTCGTTCGGTCGTGATCCTCGCACAAAGGTACAAATACAATGGTCCAAATCTGTCTCAAGCTAACCCTACTCAAGCCTAGTCTAGCACTATAGGTGGTTATAAACATTGGATGTGACCTTAACAATGTTTGATATAAGACGCTGTTAATGAGTGTCAGCTCTATTGAATTAGTTTTCGATTAAGCCAATAAAGAAAAATATAAAAGAGCTTTTTATGCTAAAATACAAAACCGAACCGCAGCGTCCGATAAAATTCGATATAGACAAGATTAGCATGACCCATGCACAAATCCAGCACTGGTTCAATTTTTTTTTTTTTTCATTTTGCCCCTAATTTTGCCTACGAAATTACCTGTCTATTACGTCCTGAATTCCAACCTTTCCTTTCCCACAAAATAACCATCTCACGAATGCGCCCTTTCCTCCCCACCCTCTGCCGCTTCTAGTACAACACATTGCAACTCAAAATTTCAGAACTTATTATTCCGATGGGTCTCTGCTCATTTACATTCTGAATGTACAAAGTTGAAATAAGTGTATTTATATTCTTAAAAGGTAGATTTTTCTGTTATTGAATTTTGGGTGCCTTCGGATCCCTTTTCTTTGAAGTCTTTTTAATTATCCAATTAAGCTTCTGATTCTTGCTCAGTTCTCATCCGACGAGTGATTTCATTTGTAGTATTGACCATAGCTCGGCGATCAACATGAGTTTTGGGAATATCTTCGATTCTTCTCTTCAGTTTCATGTCCCCATGTGGTGCACCAGCCATAGATTTTGCTTTTCTTCATTTTTGGAGATCCTAACTGACGTGCAGTCAGAAATGCACACGATGAAAAGCAAAAGGTACCTGGCTTTTCGTTCTTATTTTTTGTTTTTTTGGGATTCAAGTGTTGTTTATAGCTAAATGTTTAGGAAATCAATTATTCACATCAATAAATGTTATTGCTGATTGAGATTGAATCTCTTCCTTCACCTTTTTCTGGTTTCAAGCATTGCTTTTGGCAGAATGCTGAGGAACTTATAAGAAACAAATTCATAAGTGAAACAACTATTATATTGTAAGTAATACAAAGACAATGTTATGTATGATAGGCATCTGCTAAGATAAATCCACAATCTGGCCTCTTCTCCTCTAGCCAATTTTATTTATAGTAGATCCAAGCTCAACTAGGATGGACCCCATTTCTTTTACTATTTCCATGCCTGGATTATTGCTCTAGTCTCGGCTCTAACAGTTATGGAGGGAGATCAGCTGAATATGGGGGGTGCATTGGCGCAGGATCCACTAGCAGTGAGGTCACGAAGTCTTTGGTCTTGCCTCCAGAGTTAGTGTAGCCATCTTCGTCCTTGTATAAAACATGTATAACTCTTGCAAAATTCAGAATCCGCTCAAGAAGAGGCATTGGCACCGCGGTGGGTTGAAGCATCTCTGCATTCATGTTCTTCCATGCATCTGCCACGCGTTTATTGAAATGTACATGCACCCCTTCCTCTGATGCCCCATACTCCTTCATGTAACATTCAACTGCTGAGACCACATGCCCTCTTTTTTGCTCAAACTAAAAAATTGTTAAAAAAATTGAAGTATATATTAGCTCAGGAAGCTGGACAGAAAAGAATTTCGAAGATATATTCCTAGCCCTCAAACATCGAAGTAACAAGCTTATTAGTTTACATGTATCTCCTATACAAACCAAAAACAACTAAATTGATACCATATATCAAATGAAAATCTAAAACAAAATATAGTTCAAATCTTATCAAACTTGTAATACATCAGTAAACAACCTGTATATAGTCAATAGAACTTGTCTAATGAAAACCTCCCAAAATCTGATAGAAATCAAGAACAAAACAGGACTAACATCTACGATCAATATGCAAACAACCAGAACAGTCACTCTATTTTCTCTCTATGTTGTTTGTAAAACATGAGGAAGCAAAAGAATACGCATCCAATACTTCTAAATTATAGCTTTGATAAATAAGAAAATGAGGATAATTGGCGGGTTGGGAAGATAAATTAGAGAAATAAAAGTTATTATATTTAATTGGACAGAAAAAGGCAGAAAAGGAAAGAAAAATGAGAAAATGATCTAAAATGGGAGAAGGGGACAAAATTTGCTCTCTTCCCTTTCCACTTTGTCAAACCTCTCATAAAGCATGCATATGCTATAAAAAGGAAGAAAAAGAAAAAAAAATACCATGTGTCAAATTTATCTTACCTTGTGGCTTACCATGTTATCCATGAGCCTACATATCACTGATGAAGCTTCAACAATTAGAGGGTTACTGGATATCCAATCGAAAGACTGCTTTGTCACCAAGTCTCCTATCCCAATAAATGAAGTGATGGCAAGTATTCTGTAACCACAGCTCACTAGTGCAACGCCCATGTACTCTTCCATGTTTGGAACATAGCCTTCATGGTACCATTTGGCTTCAATAAAGTATGCTTGGGCTAGATCTTTCATCTGGATTTTCAAGAAAATCACACTGAGCACCATTCTTTTGTCAAAATCCACCAGCGGTAGTACAACAATTTACGTTTTTAGTTCCCCATAGTTTCTCCAAATTTCATTTTGTTTCCCAAAAGTTCAAATATTATACTTTGTCCCAATGTTGCGAAAGTATAATATATCATTTGTGCTTAGCTTTCTAGACGAAAAATCCAATTTCTTTCACAAATTGGCTCTCTGACTCCTATTTTTTCTTAATTTTGGTGTTATTGTAGGTAAGAAAATGGCAAAAGAACTGTGTTGAAACTCGGGTTTGTGTGTACAGAAATTGAGGAGTTTTCTTTCTAAACAGTTAACTGGGGATTGAATATATCATACATTTAAGTTCTTGGAACTAAATGTAGTATGATTGAAACTATAAGATGCAAAATGACATTAAGATGAAACAACGGGACGGAAAGTGTAATTTTGCCCTTCTGTAGTACAAAAGGTACAAGCTTACTGCAGCTGTTGCATGGTCAACACGGTATGATTTTCCTTCCCTGGCCATCTCTTCATCAATCATGTTATAAAAGTCCAAAAGTGCTTGGTAGCAGACTCTCATCCACATCGGGAGTTGATCTTTAGCATTGTTTTCCCACCTGAAAACCAACAAGCTAGCTTTTGGTTAATGACCTCGGAGAATATTTGGTTCGTAAGCATTTTTAACAAGAAAATTAGATTTACTAGTTTCTTTTAAACTTAGTATGTGAGATATTTCAGTCATTTCTCATTAAAAATAGTTAAATACCCACCTTTTTACTGGAAGACATAACAAACATGGGTGTGTGTGTGTGCGCGCGCATGAAATACTTTTCAATGAGAAAAGTTGGCTTCAAGAGGTGTTAGAAAATTTTTAAAACCTTAAAACCAAACTCTATTTGAAGACAAAAAATAAACACAAAATAAATAGATAAATAAATAAAATAAAATTTCTAAACCAATTTTCTTAAAAACTTTAGGATATCTGTTAATTACAAATTATGTAAAATAATGAAGTGTTAGATTGGAACCTTTGAATTGCACCAGTGAAAAGAAACAAGTTCTTCGAAGGTGCCATAGGCATCATATATGTCATCAATAATGGAAGTCAAAGCAATCATTTTGGTTAGTATCCTTCTGGCCATGAAATACTTGGGCTCAAAGTACACTCCTAATGTCCAAAAGTAGCATTCCACAATTCTATCTCTCACGAAAGGTAGTTTCTTTGCAACGTCCAAGCCTTTCCACCACCTAGAAATCAAATAGAAATGTCATTATCATAGCTAGATTTAGAAGCCAGTCCATTTGACTTGCCAAAAGTTATTTTTCTACTAATCTCTCTTATTTGATTGCTCAAGTGTTCGCACTATATGTTCAACTTTAAATCCCAGAATCCACAAATTAAAACATTAACTTTCTTTCCTTGTGACTGCTTGTTTAGAATCCCACAACAATATATTAATTTATAAGTTTTTGTCGACCAAACATGGATGGTATTATGATTAAACCTCATGTATAATTCTTAGAGATGCTAAGAACCCAACTTATATTGGTAAAATTAGATATTCTATGTCTTGTAGCCCATGACTTGGTGAAGAAGGCTTGGAAAGATTTTGGGCTCTAAAATTAATGAGTTGTAATCAGCCTTTAGAGTGTTCTAGAGATGAGGTGCTTTGCTCATTATTTTATATGATGGAAGATTTTAAGTGGTCAATGGTGTTGTAGTTTTTCTTCAAATTGAGGTCTTTCATCTAAAAAAATATTGCATCTAGAGTGTTCTAGAGATGAGTTCCTTCATTCGTTTTTCTTTTAATATATAATGGAAGGTTTTATGTGGCCAATGGGCTAGTCGTTTTCCGTCAAATTGAGATTGTTTATGTAAAAGTACTGCTTCATTTTTTCTATATATCTTTCTCTTAATGTAAAACTTATACCATGCTATTCAATAAGATCTTGCCTGGTAATATCACTTAGTTCACTCTAGTGCAATTTTTGCAACAAATTTAAGTCTAGTATCACAAAATGTAGGAGTAATTTGTAGCAGGATCCACATGCTTCATAGAAGGACATAAAGTGCCTTGCTTCTAGCCTTGTGAAACCCATGCGAATTGGTTGATTAAGAGCATGAGTAACTTCAGCTGAGAGTGGATTAGCCCACACTGCCAAGCATTGGAGATGGGTTGTGGTGAAACACAGTGCTTCATCTAATATATCTTCTCCTTTCACCCCGAGGTATGAAGCTTGGTACAAACTTAGCATTCCTCTCACATCAGCAGTCAAAGATTCTTTAAACTTGCCATCCTTGTCCTGAAATCTATGGAACACATCTATAAAAGTAATTAAGACACACGATGCTAGGTTTCTAATTCTATCAAAAGCCTAAGTTTGTAAACTGTTAAATAAGATCTCAAATTTACACAAGGTTGAAAGGAAACTAGTTGATTTCAAGCGAGTATCACATTTGACTTATTACAAGAGATTAGATATCCTTGTTGTCTAAGTAATCTAAACAAGAGGGCAGTGGTGTGAAGATCATCACTGTAAACCACCTCACCATTATCATGACTTAAGGTTTGGTAGATTTGTTGCAAAGTAGCTTCTGTCTCACTCTCAAAATGGTAAACTACACCTAGACGCTACACTACATCGATGAAGTTCAATTTCTGTGGAAGCTCTTTAGTAGTTGCCATTATCATTTGTCTCACTTCCTCCTTCAGCTGCTTGTGTTGTTCCATCATGCCACAATCAATTTCCTAAATAAAAAACGGAAGTAAATTATAAATATTATAATAAGAAAGGTTTTTAAGCAAGTCAATCTTACAGAATGTGCAGGTTTGACTCATTTAGTTTTAGAATAACTTGAGTTCAAGCTCACTTCCAACCAAGGCAAGTTTGAGAATCACTAAACTCAAGTACACCTCAGTTCAAATTTGAGTTTAAATTTCGTTAAAATCAAGTTCAAAACTCTCGGTGAGCTAATTTTATTAGACATTATTTTTGAAGTTCCTAAATAATTGCTAAACTAAATTCTTTAAATCTTAACATGTTAATACCTAATTATATAAAAGTTTTTTACTAACTCATTTAAAATAATCCATAAATATTAAATGAACTAATGTATGAGAGAGAGAGAGGAGAGAGAGGAGAATTACTACAAGATGAGAAGCTGAGTACTTGAGAAAATAATCACCCCAAATGCTTGGATGATAATTTGCACAACAGCGAATCATATCAGACGCTGAACTAGCTCTGTTTGACTCCGACATGGTGGGAGGGAGAGAGAGAATGTGAGGTTGCCAACTTACTAATGGTTGTTGTTTAGATAGCCCCAACTTATCCTCTATTTATGCTAAAAATCTATCCATCCTTAGACTTGGTTTTAAGGATTCGGAAATTGTTGCATCACTGAAATTTTCTTGATAATATTTTACTCTTAATCCATTGCCGTGGGAGCCGGAGGATAATGGGAGGGGAAAAAGTGAAATGTTTTTTGCAACCAAACATTTTGATAACTTTTTGAACCTCGATGGGGTAAGTGAAATTTACTCAACCTAATAACTATTGAAAGAAATAAATAGTAACAGTATATTCTACACCAATAAAACTAGGAACCCTCATCTCCAAAAGAACCACAGTAATAAAAAAAAAAAAAAAGATAAAATTTTAGCAGAAGGAGAGAATAAGTGGGGGCCATCTAAACAAAAATCATTGGCAACCTCACTTGGGGGAGGTTAAGGTTAGTGAAAATTGTATTGATTGATCTAAATATTTATTCTCAAATATTAATTATCTTTAAAACTCATCTCAACAATTGAAAGTGAGCTCAAACGAGTGCATCTTTTTTATTTTTTATTTTTAAGCTACAAGTATGTTGTACTAAATACAATAACTAAACTATCCACTTTTATTTTAACATAATCTTATTTTCTTTAAGTAAATATTTAATTCTACTCATTTTTTTAGCCATCTTTTCTCTTCCTCCAACAACACTCATACCATTGGCCAAGTTTGCCTAAGAAAACGATCTGCACTACTACTATGTCACTGTTGGATAGGAACATGCAAAATCAAACCAAATAGTTTTTTTAAATTTAGTTTGGTTTCAAAAGTAATTCAAAATGATGATTTGGTTTAATCTAAAAACTAATCCAAATTATTGTCAACCATAAATCAAAATTTTGAAAATATTTTTCTATAAAAATATATTAATTTATATACATGAATATATATATATATATATAAGTTAGTTTTTGATGAGACTGAAGGGATGTTTGCAAATATTTTTGAAAAATGAGAAATGGGTATTTAAAGTAAAAGTAAGGAAAATATCACATTGCAATCCAGGAGCTCGACCAGCACCAGGATTGGCGTACCAATTTTGATAAGTCTCAAACTCCCTCAACATAAGGATATAGTCTCAAAATAAACATCACATATATACATGAATCAAAACATGTCTGAAATGTACATGGAGTATCTAGAGTACAAAGGAAAATATATACAGAAAGTGCCCGTACAAAAATCAGTGCAGCTGTGATGGAACTGATGCAGGAGCTACTGCTGCCAAGCAGAACTGAAATCTGGAATGTGGGGGGGGGGGAGAAAAGGGTGAGTATAAAACTCAGTGAATGAACAGTACTATCTAAATATGCTGGGACAAGAACCGTAATCATTCAAAACACATGTATCATCGCCAAGTAACAACACAGTTTACAAAAGTCACATTTGCCTCAGATAACACATGCAGTTTACATAGGCGCAGTCAAAATCAGAAAACAGAAATCTGTCGGAGTATCAAAACATATCATATATCACATATCAGAACTAGAGTCACATATGGATCCAAGGCACTCCCCGCACGCTACGGCGACCCACCGTCTACCGGCTGAGTCCCTGGCATCCTGTATTAGAGTTAGAGTCACATGTGGACCTAGGGCACTTCTCACATGCTATGGTGGCCGACCATCCGACGGCAGAGCCCTGGCATACTCTATCAAAATCAGAGTCACATATCTCATAGCTATCACACTGGGATCCCGTGCCATAACCAAAATCATAATCAAAATTAGAATCACCCATATCACATCATTGGGCTTAGGGCACTCCCCACACGCTACGGTGCCACACCGTCTATCGACTGAGTCCCTGGCACCCCATATTAGAACCAAAGTCAGAACCAAAAAACCGAAATCACATGAAAACTCGCAACATATTAACTTTTTAAAACGCATGTATCATTGAGGCAAGTATGTAATTAATTACATAAATAATATCAAGCTTATCATATTTTAAAACAGATAGATTCATGTCCCGGAAGTAACCTCATAGCTCAGAAAATCAAAATACAGAACAAATAAAAAATCATAATACAGACACATGTACAGAGAGTACTGTCACTCACTGGCATGTCAAAATCAAATGCTGAAACTCAAACAGACGTCTCAAAGACCAGCGCGTGCCTCCTCTGGAGTATCTACAATCACTGACACGTACGTCAGAACCAAAATCAGAATTTATTCCTAAAAATCCAAATTATCAAAAGCGACCCGGGATCTAAACCCTCAACTAGGCCCCCGACACGCACCTCGAGACCCTCTCTTGAGTCGTCACTAACTAACTCAATTCATGCCTAAACCAACACCACATTTCAGTCTTAACACGTTTTGTAAATTAAATGAACCAGATTCTAAAAGCATAAAATGGCTCGAACCGAACTCCCAAACCTCATAACCGAACTAAACTAACCTCAGACCATCAAAACCTAGACCAAATCCAACCAAAAACCTACTGAACCGGGCCAAATCGGCCCCCATTCCCATGAACTGAGCCGAATTGGGCTCAAGTTCTCATAAACCAAGTTGAACCAAGATGAACCGGGCTTAAACCTACATGAACCGATCTTAAACTATGCAAAATCAGACTGAACCGGCCAAGGTTCTTAAGAAAACACACTAAACCGGGCACAAAGGCCCTGAACCGACCTTAATCCCTCAAAAATCGGCTGGTTCAACCCTAATTTCTCTTAGATCTACTTGAACCGGGACGGTTTAGAGCTTGAACCTGGTCCTAACTGATTCCTCTCCCTCTTCTGAACTGGGAACCGGTCCTGGTTTTTCAATTGGGGTCAAAAATCCCCCTAAACCGGCCGGTTCTAACCTAATAGGGTGGGACCGGACCAGTCAACCCTTTGTCAAACTCGGACACTGTCCAGGTCTGTCCCTGTCACCTGGAAACCTGGGTTGCAGGCCCGGTTTCCCCTCGACGAACTGAACACCCCCTAAACCCAGAAACTGCAGAAAGTCAGCTTACCTAGTAAAATTAGAGCTTCCGAAATCAATTCCCATACTCCCCGAGCTCCGTAGCAGCCCTTAATCAAAGCAAAATCAATCTATCAATCGGAATTTTTCAGAAAAAATCCTGTCGGGTGCCGCGGTGCTTCCAGCTTGTCTTCTCCCTCCTTTCTCACTCAATCTCCCCGTTAAACACTCCCCCCAAGTCGTTTTATACTTATACACAAAGTCTCAAATTGTTTTGAGCTGTCTCGTTAGGGATGTAAATGGATTCGGGTTTTGTGGGTACCTGAACCATTTACCCGACTCGGATTCGGATTCGGTCATTGCAATTCGGTTTCTGGGTCGGGTTCGGTTATAAGTTATTATATTTTTTCGGGTTCGGGTTCGGATATGGTTTTTTATGTAATAATACCCAAATACCCGAATACCCATACCCATATATCCGTATTTATATACCCGTATATCTATTTCCAATTACCCGTATTATATACCCGAATTTTATACATATATACTTATATATTTATATATATACATGTATATATAAATATATATACATATATTTATGTATAATATCCTAAGATATTTTTTTTATATGAACATCATAATTCATAAGATATAAATGTTGAAATTCAAATATTTTTGAAAGATTATAAAAACATATTTTACAAAAAAGAAAGAACTTAACTATTTATATAAGAATATGTAATAATTAAATTGAAAAATAATATGTAATAAAATTAAATTACAATGGTGAAATTAAACTTTAATAACTATACAAATTCAAATTTAATAGTTATTTTATCAAATAATTGTCAAACAAAAAAATGGTTTTGAACTAGTACAAAACATAACTTATATATGTTTACTACACCAACAGTACAGTGATCAAATTATTATTCAATTTTGACATTTAAAATGTTTTAACAGTACTTCTTAACACTTTAATATATGTGTGATAGGGATTATAGTTTTATATCTAATAAAATAGATAATATTTTAACAGTACTTCTTAACACTTTAAAATTAAATATTTGATCATTTTTAAATTTTTAAATGTACTTTTAAAAGTTTTTTTCTCTAAATAACATTAACTTTTCAAAAAAATTTCTTTTCTTAACTTTTAAAATTTAAAAAAAATTGCAATTCTTTAGAAATCTCTTTAATTTTTATGATTATGTTACATACCAAATTATTTACTAAATGGATATGGATATGGGTAGTTGGTATTAAAATGGATATGGATTTAGGTATGGGTAAATGATATTTTAATGGATATGGATGTGGATATGGGTAAATAATATTTAAATGGATATGGATATGGGGAAATAACTCTTTACCCATTTAGATATGGATATGGATATGGATATTAAATTTTTATTCGGATATGGATATGGGTATTTCAATATCTCACCCGAACCCGACCCATTTACATCCCTATGTCTCGTTCCTATTGGAGCGAACTAGCTTCTGGGAGCTTCGGCTGACCTTCGACCAAAGTTTTTTTTTTTTTTTTTCAATTCAGCCCAACAATTTTTATTCTGTTCACTTAACTCCCCAAATTTTCAAATTAGCCCCAAAACATTTCAATTATTGCAAAATGACCCAAAAAGGCAATTAAATGAAATAACCAAAAATATAAAATAAATCGGGTCATTACAGAAAAGCTAATTTAATTAGGAGTGGGACGTGTTTGTAAATTGTGTAAAAAAAAACTCTTGACAATTAATAAAATGGTATTTAATAAATAATTTTTACGAAAAAATGGAAGAGAAATTTTTGGAAAAAAATTACTATTTTAGCCTTATATTATATTTTTCTTTTGATAATAAAATGTTTTTTTTTGGTGGGGATCACTGCATATGGCGGCGCATGTAGTGGCACCATTGCCACTGTGTGACAATGATTTGTATCACTGCTGCATGCAGTGTTCAATGACGCCGCACATAGCGATGATTTGCTTTGGCGCTACATGC